CGTACACACAAACACACACACACACACACACAAATATATATATATATTTAAGCGATCTAAAAAAAAGAATCCAGAGGATCCGTGAGGAAATAGCGCGATACCGTGAGTCCCCTATTTCCCCTCTCACGAGATTCTTCAAAGCAAGATAAGGGGGCTTTGTAAGTGACGACAGACGTGAACTGATAACGTTGGCGTCTGTTCGGAATTGTTTAACAAAGGAAGCCACAGGCAATGAGCAATTTCAAGTATTTTTTAATGCAAAAAACTGATTAAAAGTTAAAAATTATTGATATTTAAAGGCACATATTTATAGAAATTGATTGAGTTTAGATGAAAGAAGGGTACTTATCTTAAAATTCCAGCCTTTCGTAGTACTTCCTCACATTGTCCGCTGTTTCATTATCATCAACATCGCAACTGAAAAGCTTTTGAAAACGTGTAGGTATTGTAGAAAAATCAGTATTTCAAAGTAATTTAATTGATAATCACCAAGGGGAAAGGATTTTTTTTCACTTTTTTACGGAGCGCTTCGAACGTCCAGCCGCTTGCCTCGGTGATCGCAGCGCCTTCCTCCTGGGAGTACGTGTGATTTTTCTCAACAATATTCGAGAGAATGTACCAGGGGTGCAATCTATTTATGATGTTAAAAAACTGCTATGTTTCTTTGTTGAAATACATCCTTATAAAGTGCGTGGAAATGTTGTGCAGTGTCACAACTGCCAACACTTCCATCACAGTAGTGAAAATTGCAAACTACAACCAAGATGTGTGAAATGTGCGGGTGCACATCGTACTGATAAATGTAATGTTAAAAAATTAGACTCTCCTATTTGTTGTAATTGTCTGCAAGAAGGACACACCGCCAATTATCGCGGATGTCCGAAATTCCCCCGACGCATAGTCGGAAATAAAACTGTGAATAAGAGTGCAAACTCAGAAAATGTAAATAATGGTGTTAAAATGCCTAGTACTTCTAATGCAAATTTGAGTTATTCTGCTGTTGCCTCCGGGCGCAGTTATGCTAGTGTAGCCAAGGGTGACGTTTCAAAGATCTGTAAATACTGTTAATAATTTTAATGTTGATATGCATAAACAGACTGTCAGCAGTGATGGTGCTGCTAGTGCTACTGTTGGTTCGGGTATGTTTATGGACTTTCTCAAAATAATCAAAGAGGTGTGTGATGTTTTTAAAGGCACCACAGTTATGAATGTTTTTCAAAAAATCCTCGGCAGCCATGCCTGAATTGCGGGCTGCGGAGCATTCAATCGATAAGTTGTTTATATTATTTAATGTTTTTGACAGTGTTTTTTCCAATGTTGAATAATTATGTATAGTGTAAACAATAGGTACTTAAGTATTATTACTTGGAACGCAAATGGTTTGTTCCATAAGATTAATGAATTGCGGGATTTTGCAAGTGAGCACAGTCCCGACTTATTTTTCCTACAAGAACACAAGCTTGACCCTAAAATACCATTGTGTGTGGCAAATTACTATACCTACAAGTCGCACAGAAGTACTACCGCTCCTCGCCCACGTGGAGGTGGCACTGCACTTCTTGTCAAACGCTGCATTCCCCATTATCACGTGAACATTCCACAGCTCTCAGCCGTAGAGGCCACAGCTATCTGCATCACAACAGACACTAACACTCCATACACTTTTGTCTCCACCTACATTCTCCCATGAGACCTGTGGCTGCCGTTCAGACAGACCTTGAAATTCTACTCACACTTGGTACACATGTTATTATTGGTGGAGACTTGAACGCAAGACACCGCGCATGGAACTGCTACACTTCTAATGCAACAGGCAGACTAATTTATTCCTTGGCCGCGTCGGCACGGTTTAAATTGGCAGTTCCAAGTATCCCAACACGGTATGCTGCTGGGTCCACCGCAATTATTGATTTTTTCTTGTTGCGGAACACCAGTTCTCCACTAGATATTTCCGTACTGGACGAACTTTCAAGTGATCACAATCCTGTTAGGATTATTCTGGACCTCAGCAGATATACTACATCAGACACCAGGGCCTTTCGTACAGACTGGCATGCCAAAGCCCTCTCCAACACCCAGTACACTTTACCCACGATACACAAGGGGAGTGACATTGATAGTTTGTTCAAGGACCTCACTGAAAATATACAAAATGCTTATGCGAAAGCACAAGTTGAAGTTAAACCTGGTATGAAACACAAGCCTCAAGAGCTCAGATTATTGATTAAAGAGAGAAATGCTGCAAGACGAGCGTATCAACGCACCAGACACCGTGATGATAAAAGGAACTTCAATCGCCTGTGCGAAGCGGTCAAGTTTCTCACAAATAAACTCTCACAAGATCGCTGGACTAACTACCTCAGATCTCTTTCTGCAGAGGATAACTCCTTATGGAAAGCAGTGAAGAGGTACAAAAAAATGCTATAACGCCATTCCGCCCCTTCACGGCCCTCAACGGATCCATTACACACAACACCGGAACTGAGAAAGCAGAACTTTTAGCTCAGCAACTGGAATCTCAGTTCTGCATTAACAACATTTCAGACTCAGACACTGAACAGCTTATTGCTGACTTCCACTCCAATTTTTACAACACAGCCATGCACAGACAAAACATTATCTCAGCCATGCCATCGGAGGTCTGTCTCTATATCATGCGAATTGCGAAAAGGAAGAGCCCTGGAGTAGACGGTGTCACAAATGAGATGATCAAGCACTTCCCTGTCAAGATAATACTCTACTTCACCAAGTTAGTGAATATCATACTACGATGGCAATACTTCCCAACTTGTTGGAAAACTGCCAAGATTGTCCCTCTGCTAAAGCCCAACAAGCCTGCGACTGCTCCTGAGAGTTACCGACCAATCAGTTTGCTAAGCTCAATTAGCAAAATCGTGGAAGCAGTTATTCTACATAGACTAAACATCTTCCTGGATGAGCAGAAGATCCTCATACCCTATCAGTTTGGGTTCAGGCGTAAGCACTCGACAACGCATCAACTCTACAGAGTTGTTGAGTTAATAAGCAGTGGGATGCAACAACATCGTGTCACTGGTGGACTTTTCTTAGATGTCGCCAAAGCCTTCGATAGAGTATGGCTGGATGCCCTCATATACAAATTACACAACCTGGGACTCCCAGGCTACATCACAAACATAATTAAATCCTACCTAACCGGTAGACACTTTGTCGTTCATGTTTCTGGTTCATTATCCACAAACCGGCCTATACGGGCTGGTGTTCCACAGGGATCCCTTCTGGGCCCTACCCTATTCAATATTTACGTGAACGACATCCCCACTACACACAACACAACACTAGCCATGTATGCAGACGACACAGCGATCCTTACGCAAAGTGCATTTGTTAGTTCAGCAATACAACAGCTACAACACCACATCCACTCGCTAGAGACTTGGCTGACCAAATGGAAAGTCAAAGTGAATGTCGACAAGACACATGCCATACTGTTTACTACTAAGAAGAATTTCCCGACTCACCTGCAAATGTATGGTGTGGACATTCCCTGGGTCAAGCAGGTCCCTTATCTTGGGGTGATCCTCAGTAAATCTCTTACATGGAACCCACACGTTACACATATTCTCAGGAAGTTTCGAGCTAGTAAAGCTTCACTCACCCTTCCCCTTAATTGCTCGAAACAGTGTTCTATCTATTGATAATAAGTTGCTCATTTACAAAACCATGTTGCGTCCAATTCTTAGTTATGCATGCCCCGTCTGGGCATACTCGTGCAAAAGTTTGAGAAGGCAGTTACAAGCTGCCCAAAACGGGGTATTGCGTATGATATGTAATGCCCCCTGGTACATTCGGAATAGCCAAATTCGTAAAGAGTTAAGAATAGAGGATCTTTGTGATTTTTATTGCCGCCGCCTATCTAGGGCATTTTATGATAAACAGGAACTTCTGGACAATCCTGTGGTTGTTAACTATTGTTATGATACTAGGGACCCCAATTTCAGTAAAGCGCCCAAGGGCGATCCTAAATGTTAGTAATGTGTAATTTTGTATATGTGTTATGCAAATTGTTGCTCAGATTCTTTATTGTATATTGTTCTTTTTTTTTCCTCCTGATTGCTTTTTGTTTTTTTACTAGTGGCACTAAGGCGTCGCACTTCGTATTTTGTTTCTCTTGTGTGTACATGTATTCTTCTGTGAAATAGTTGTTAAAAAATAGTTAATTATGTATGGATTAGTAATTAGGTACTTAAGGAAAAAATTTGTATTTAACTATTAGCAATTATGAATTTAAACTCTTGCTCATTTAATTATTTAGCACATTCAGTTACATTTCTCATAATTCGAAACTTTTATCATGTTATTCGATGAGGGGTAGGGCTATGGCGCCCAGGCACCCTGGTGGTTAAGCACCGCAGTTCAACAATACAACAATATTCGAATATATGGTTACAGTTAATTTATATAAAAGGAGATTCTAGGAGAGTCACTGACTATTGACAATTAATGGCCATCCTTCCATCACAGATGTATCTGGGTTGAATATTAATTTCCTGGCGTCAGAAATTGTTAATAAGGCCCTAAAACTTACTACTCTGATAAGTTTCTTTGGGTGAATATGAAAATTACATTAAATAAATATTTGTGATTTTATAAAAAAACTTTATTGAAAATAAGTATTCCACTTTCACTCTGAAATGTGTTTAGATTTAATGAAAGGTCTAATATATATATAATGAGTTAAGGAATTTCAGAAGAAAATAAAATTAATATATTCGGTAAAATTTGCTGAGGAGTTTATATTTAAATTGAAAAAATATTAAAAATATTAAAGGAAATTAAATTTTTCATTATGATTAAACAATTGTAACGAAAAATTAAATATAAATAGTTGGTTTAAGAAAAAAATTTTGTTAGACGATTTTGGATATGCTTTGTTGCCAAAACGTGCAATATTTCTAGGGGGGGGGTACTACTACTAGTGTTAGAATATAGCCGCGGAAATTTTATGACTAATTTGAAATCTTTTTGCAGTTAACCGTAATGGCAACTCAAATTATGCCGGGAAGAGGAGCATGGTAGTAGTTTATAAACTTTGTTTATATATAAATTGTTTATACGTTTTGTAATGGCTTCTGATAACGTTGTACTAAATTTAAGTAAGTCACATATTAATTCACAGTATTTAGCGATTAATACTTTGTGACATTATATATTGTGAAACAAAGATTTTTATTTATGTTAGGAAACTTCTCTTCATGCTCACAAAATAAATTATTGCTGTTTATGTACGTTCATATAGTCTGAAATTTACTAACATTTAGCCTAGAGTTAAATCTGAGCAGTAAGCGCTCTAGCTGAATTCCAGACAAGTTATAAAATGAATAAGTTGTGTAGAAATTCTGTATGTTGTATTTTTCGGTAATATTCGGTTTTGAAGGCCGTAAAAAATCGCCAAACTATTGTTGATGCCAGTGCCGCCAAAAATAATTGCGGCAACCCTAACGCAAGAAAGGAAGTATAATAACTATTTACAATTGATGTTTTAATTTAGATGAAAAGTTGGTTAATCTTTAGATTATGGTAACTTGGCAATTTTTTGGCGAAAATTTGGCGACCAACTCTGCTACAGCAACCCTCTATTTTTTTTTTCGCCGCCATTTTGTCTTCACGAAGTAAAGACATGTTTCTTTTCTTTTTATTTACTCAACACTTTTTCCAACAATCTGCTAGCCGAATCACACTTATGCTAGAAATTTTATGGAACAAAACTGCTTAATCATGACAAATATTAACTGCAAAATTGGGAAAAGTGCAGAATCGCAAACTCCTTACCGCGTTTTTCAAAATCGCACATACACAGTAACCATGTACAGGTCGACTTATTTTTACTTAAAAAAACATCCCAGAATTGCACAAAAATGGCATTGCGCACACTATTGACTTTATCCATCTACACTGCTATTTTCTCATAAATTACAAAAATTTGCACGAAAATGCAGGAAAATTTTCTGAATCTTTAAACTCTGTAAAAAGCACATATATGAAATTACCTGATCGCGAAAAAGTATATACCCTATCCAAGGATGAACATTTCCACATATAAATAAAATATCCAAAAACTTTTACCTCTAAATTATCTATTATAAACGTCACCAACGAATTCATAACAAAACATTAAAAATGGTTACAAATACTTAGTGTCAAATATTTAAATTATTTCCATGCACGTTTACTTCAACTGAATATAGCCGCAACTGAATATAGTCGTATACCAAATTCCTACAAACATAAAATTCACAAAATAACTATCATTTAATTAAAATATCACTAAACCATGTACACGTCGACTTATTTTTACTTAAAAAAACATCCCAGAATTGCACAAAAATGGCATTGCGCACACTCTTCACTATATCCATGTACACTGCTTTTTTCTCATAAATTAGAAAAATTTCGCGAAAGCGCATGAAAATTTTGTGAATCTTTAAATCTGGTAAAAAGAACATATATGAAATTACCTGATCGCAAAAAAGTATATACCCTTTCCAAAGATGAACGTTTCCACGTATAAAATATCCCAAAACTTTTACCTCTAAATTATCTATTATATTATAAACGTCACCAACGAATTCATACCACAAATATTATAAATGGTTACAAATACTTAGTGTCAAATATTTAAATTATTTCCATGCACGTTTACTTCCACTGAAACGTATACCAAATTCCTACAAACATATAATTCACAAAATAACTATCATTTAATTAAAATATAATTAAATTTAAAAAAACTACTTAAAATATAAATAAGCACATACATTAAATTAATAAAAATTAGCTTACAGTCCTAACTACTTTAAACTAAATCATTGCTAATAACACTTTTCCAATAATACCATATTACTTTATTTACTCCTTACATTTAGAACAATGCATAAAAATAATATCCTCAAATAATTAAAAATACTAACTTACCTAATCTTCTTCAGAATCTTGATTACGTGGCGGATACACTTTTCTAATTCATTCAATAAAATTATTGAAAGATTTTTTCTGCGAATTTTTCCTCCATACTTCCTCCGCTAAAGAAAAAGCAAAATTATCTTTATCACAATGCCTAAATACCCATTTTGAATTCACTTTAGTTAGGGCCATGGGATCCAAAAATTAACCAACACTGTTTCACACAACACAGAATAAAGCTAAATACAAAATTTCCAGATTTCCCCCCTTTTCCGATTAAAGAACTGTAATTCGTCCATTAATGTCACGTGACATATCTCATGATCTCTCTTTTCCCTCACACAAAATAATGCATAATCGGAACTGAGTACTTCTCACATTATTACCAAAGTCCTAGGTAGTAACCTTTATCGCCTCCAAAATGTCACCATACTACCAGTTACCATATTCCAAAGATCAGCCGAAAAGTTAATTTCATATAATACTTTTTTATTATTATAATTTATATAAAAAGGCTAAACATGACTGAATGGAAGCATAAGAGTAAATAATTATTTCAGATCATTATTATAATTTATTTAGAAATTGCTAAACGTAACTGAATGGATGCCTGCATTGATATTTCGCTACCAAGTTATCCCTAAAGCATAATTTCATCTCGTAGGTTGTTCAAACATAATTTTCCATAATGAATGATGCCTTTTCTTTGAAAATATTCTCGGTTAAAGTGCAGAATCGCCCCTTATTTGTTTGCAGCTTTTTACAGTGGTAAAAACAATTTGATTTTTGTCAATTTTTTTTACTTTTTAAGTGAAAGTAGGTCGATGTGTATATAGATAAAAGTTAAGGGTGTGCGCAGTGCCATTTTTTTGCAATTCTGGGATTTTTAAGTGAAAATGTGTTGATGTGTACATGGATACCGAGTGTGTGCTGTTCTTAAAAATGCGTCAAGCAGTGGGTTATTCTGCTCAAAATTCTATTGCACACTTTTCATCATAGGCAATTCCCAAATTGTTAAATCCATAGGATATCAAAAAATAATTTAAAATCAAAAAAGGATTTAAAAGTTAAACTAGTATTTCAATAGCATCTTAAGAAATATAGAACTATAAAAACTTATGCAAACTGAAATCAGCGCGTACGCCTGATTTGGTGCGTTGTTAAATAGATGCTTTGCTAGATTTGGCACTTATGCACATACATTTTCGCTGCAATTTTTTTTACGGTCCTCGAAACGGAATAGTACCTATTTTTCCAATTATGAGAAATGTTTAAAGTTATGAAACATTTGGTTTATTCTTAATAGAATGATACCAGATAACGGGAATGTTCTTAAAAATTTTCATTTTGTTCATCAAACTAATTATAAAAACTAGTCATTTTTTAGAAAAAGATTTGGTTCTGTCATGGCTTGTGTTAGTAAACTTGAATCTAATTTTATTGGCTAAGGTGCAGAATCGCCCACTTGGTTATCTTTAGATTATGGTAACTTGGCGATTTTTTGGCAAAAATTTGGCGACAAACTCTGCTACAGCAACCCTCTATTTTTTTTTTCGCCGCCGACATGTTTCTTTTCTTTTTATTTACTCAACACTCTTTCCAAAAATCTGCTAGCCGAATTACACTTATGCTAGAAATTTTATGGAACAAAACTGCTTAATCATGACAAATATTAACTGCAAAATTGGGAAAAAGTGCAGAATCGCAAACTCCTTGCCGCTTTTTCAGAATCGCACATACACAGTAACCATGTACACGTCGACTTATTTTTACTTAAAAAACATCCCCGAATTGCACAAAAATGGCATTGCTCACCCTCTTGACTTTATCCATCTACACTGCTATTTTCTCATTTGTGAATCTTTAAACTCGATAAAATCATATATATGAAATTACCTGATCGCGAAAAAGTATATACCCTTTCCAAGGATGTACATTTCACGTATAATATAAATAAAATATCCAAAAACTTTTACCTCTAAATTATCTATTATAAACGTCACCAATGAATTTATAACGCAAACATTAAAAATGGCTACAAATACTTAAATTATTTCCTTGCACATTTACTTCCACTGAAACATATACCAAATTGCTACAAACATATAATTCACAAAATAACTATCATTTAATTAAAATATAATTAAATTAAAAAACACTACTTAAAATATAAATAAGCACATATATTAAATTAATAAAAATTAGCTTACAATCCTAATTACTTTAAACTAAATCATTGCTAATAACAATTTCCCAATAATACTATATTAATTTATTTACTCCTTACATTTAGAACAATGCATAAAAATAATATCCTCAAATAATTAAAAATACTAACTTACCTAATCTTTTTCAGAATCTTGATTACGTGGCGGAAAAACTTTTCTTATTTCCTCCGCTAAATAAAAAGTAATCGTATGTGCGCCTGTTTCAGGATCTTTAAAATCATACTTATGGTTCACAGCTAGATGTTGAAAACCTTCATCCTCCAAACAGACATATGACTTCCAGCAATCGGATATTATTCTTGTACCAGGTAGAATATACCGCTTAATAAAACTTAATAAGCAATCTTTACTTCTATCTCGCACAACCTTAAAACAATATTAACCCCTTTCAATCCCACTAAATACCCATTTCGAATTCACTTTAGACAGGGCCATTGGATCCAAAAATTAACCAACACTGTTTCACACAACACGGAATGAAGCTAAATACAAAATTTCCAGATTTTCCCCCTTTTCCGATTAAAGAACTGTAATTCGTCCATTAATGTCACATGACATATCTCATGATCTCTCATTTCCCTCACACAAAATAATGCGTAATCGGAACTGACTACTTCTCAGATTATTCCCAAGGTCCTAGGTAGTAACCTTTATCACCTACCAAAATGTCGCCAAACTACCTGTTACCATATTTCAAAGATTAGCCGCCCACTTCTTTGTTTGGCGCTTTTGACAAGAGTAAGAAGAATTAGATTTTTGTCAATTTTCATTGACATTTTAAGTGAAAATAAGTCGATGTGTACATGGATAAAGTCAAGAGTATGCACAATGCCATTTTTGTGCATTCTGGAATGTTTTTTTAACTGAAAATAGGTCAACGTGTACATGAATACCGAGTATGTGCAATTCTTAAAAATGCGCCAAGCAGTGGGTGATTCTGCAATTCCCCATTTTATTATCGAGTTTGGTTATTATTAATTAATTATATATTATCATTTTATTATTATTATTTATTCATTATGATGGTCAAATCCTTAGGAGATCCCACATACTTGGCGACAAACTGGGAAAGTGCAGAATCACCCACTGCTTCGTGGGTTTCTCAAAAGCGCCAACTTGAATATAACCAGTCAAAAATTGCACACACTTGATATCCAAATACACATCGACCTATTTTCACTTTAAAAAACATCCCAGAATTGCACAAACATGGCACTGCACACTCCCCTTGTTCATGTACACATCAATACGTGCCATATAAGTTGGCGCTCCAAGGGTGTGGGCTCTGGTAGGATCCAACCATTATAATAAATATTATAATATTTAGTAATTATATATTATCTCATATATATTTTGGAAAGTTAAATATTAAAAGTATGACTAATGGAATTTGCGTATTTCAGTAACATCAAAATGTTTGTAATGACACAGTTCTGGTTTTAGAACCTCTTATGCATATTAGTATCCAATAGTATCTTGTCTGGTTTTGTTTGAAGGTTTCTTGGTTAGTTGCTTTCTTCCAATTTTTTTCTTCTGTTTTCTTTTCTTTTTTTTTTTTTTTGGAACTACTCTGATATGCGCCTTCCAGTCGCCAAATTTCTTGCCAAACATTTTTGGCTTGCCGGGGGGGGGACGCCTTGGCGCGCAATGAATTCGTTGATCTGTCAATCTGTCAGCACTATCCTTATCTTCAGGGCAGATTTTTTATTTTATTTGGCTTATAATTCCTTACTAAATGTAGTATTTCATCTCGATGTACTCCATCTTTGATATGATTTAAATCGAATTCCCTGTCATTATAATTTGCTTCTGATCATGAAGAAAGTGACACAGAGGTTATTGAAAATGAAAAAATTTCGATTGACAAATTAGTCGTTATTCTCGACACAGCAATTATAGGACTTGAACAGCGGAACTTTGTAACTGAACAAGAAATTATGTCTGTTTATAGAATTAAAGAAAAAGTATTATCACATAAAATGAAGCAACTTAAACAACTTACATTGAAAGAAATGTTTAATAAAGTAAACAAATAAATTTTAAGTTTTTTTTTTTTTTTTGTAAATTTTGATTCTCTTTAGATCATAAGTGTTCTTTATTTCATAAATTACGGTTTCATATTTTTAATTTTATAATTTCTGCATGCCATCTTACCAGATTTAAACTGATGATCTATAATCCGAAAAAATCGATAATCCGGAATCGCCAAAATCCCGACGAGTCTGGATTAACAACTTTTGACTGTATATATATATATATATATATATACAAATCTGTAATGCTATATCTTCGCTTTGAATCAGTTGAAGTCTTGCAAAACAAACCTCCCTTTTTTATATAAATTTTCTGACTGCACTATTTTTTTTGACAGACATGTGGCCTGCGAATCTTTATGAATTCATTAATGTGGCCGTCAAGCGTGAAAGGTTGAAGAACCCTAATCTAGTTGAATGCCAGATAGTTGGGCTTTTGTTATACGTAGAATGAAGTTTGATGAACTCGCAGTTTGCCTGAATAATTCTAAGAGCGACGTTCATGCTATTAGGCAAAATCAAGATTTATCTGAGGGTAGTTAAAAAAAACAAGACAAATAACCCATATTATAATTGACAGAAAAATACTATTAACAATTAATTTTTCAGCAGTTGTTGTTGTCGTATCTATATTACATGGAACAATGGTTGCCAGCGGTAACTCCGAAGAGAGAGCAGTTTAATCTATAGAATAATTTTATTTGGTTATACAAATTAAATCAGTATTCAAATCAAAAAATTGCACTGTAAGTAAGTAATGAGTCAGTGTAAAACAGAATAATCATATTAGAGTATGTGATTTATTTTTATGGCTGAAACTTTTTTTTTTTACTGTATGATTTTACAACATTAAATACTTTGGATTATCTAATTAAATGACATTCTCCTGTATATAAAAGCAGCTTTAAATGCTGTGACAGCTGTTATCCCATGTCCATCCACTTTTTCTTTCTTTTTGTGTTTCTCATATATATGTTTTTCTTTACCCAATATTTGTGTTTAATTATTCAGATATTAGTATGTAAATGATAATTAAATGCAAGGTAAGTCAAAATGAATGCCCCGATGTCATTAAGTGTGCTACGCAAAATGTAGTAAATGCATTCATTAAAAATGTACATACATGCAGAGGCAATATAAGCAAGTTTTGAATAGCCGCCAATAGATGGCGCTGGAACTCCAGTCGTCATTCACATTTTTGCTAAAACAAAATGGGCAGAAAAACAGCATCTTTGTAAAATGGCAATGCAACAGCAAAAAACATTTCGTGTGCCTAAGTTTCATGTTATCAAGTCTGTTGTCACTGTTCAGTGCCAGTTCCGAATGAAATACGGACAGACAGCACCAGATCATAAGGTAATCTGTTATTGGTATTGCAAAATTTCAAGAGACAGGCTGCATTTGTATAAGAAAATCAGCAGGTCGTGCTTCAGTAGGAGATGTAGTTGAGAATATTGAAGAAAATTGTGCAAGAAGCCTTCAAAAATCGACATATCAAGCTGGAAGAGAACTAGGAGTAGCCCAGAAAACTGTGTGAAGAGTTTTTAGGAGGTGTTTGCAAATGAAAACTATCATTTACATTTGGTGCAACATCTGAAACCCAAAGATCTGCCACATCGCCTATCTTTCTGTGAGACACTTCTAACATGCATGGAGGATGACAAATTTTTAAAAAAGTTAGTTTTCAATGATGAATCTACTGTTCACATTTCTGGATTAGTAAATAAGCATAATGTGAGAATTTTGGGTACTGAACTTCCACATGCGCCAGTGCAATAGTTTCTCTAAGGTTAATGTGTTTTGTGCAATATCCTATGAAACTGTCTGCAGTCTGTTCTTTTTTTCTAAAACCACTGTGACAGGAGGAGTGTACCTTGATATACTCAAATTATGGCTTCTTCTACAGCTAAAAGAGAATATACCTAGCTTTTATTTTGCAGCAGGATGGTGTGTCCCCGCATTTTATAACTGAAGTGCGGAACCATCTCAATAACATTTTACCACAACACTGGATTGGTTGCATAGCTACCACAGACAATGCACTCTTGCCTTAGCCACCATGATTTTCAGCTCTCACCCCATGTAATTTTTTCCTGTTCATAAAAGTTGTATATATGTGCCTCCACCTCCAGGTCCAATGACGTGACTGACTCGAAAGCCTGTATCACAGCTGCAATCACCAACATCGATACAGACATGCTACACAAAGTTTGGCAAGAATTACATTTCAGACTTGATCTATCTCATATGACAAAAGGCACACATTGAACATTTGTGAGGAGTACATTCAAAACTTGCTTATATTACCTCTGCATGTATGTACATTTTTAATGAATACATTTATTAAATTTTGTACAGTGCACCTATGAAATTGGGGCATTCATTTTGACGTACCCTATATAATGATTAACTTATTCTTTCAGTTCACTGTTGTTATTATTTTGAAATTTAATATAGTAATTTTAACTTCATATGTATATTAGGTGATAATACACTCTGGGCACCCTACAAAGGACTTTTTAATACCATCTATAGTGCTATTGCTCAGAAAGATCCTGGTGCTTGCCAGGAAATAGAAGTAGTGTTAAAAAGACACAAGCCAGATTTCATATGCCTTTTAAAAAATCCTGTAAGTATTACCTATAACTGTAGGAAAGTATTTTGTTTTTGTTTTGGGATGTAAAATTTAAAAATAATGTTGTAGATTCAATTTCAGTTTTTTTTTTTTTTTTTTTTTTTTTTTAAAGAAAAATGTGATTGCCCATGTGAACTTTCATTTGATGCATGAAAATATATGTGTATATTTTATATCTAAAGTAAACTCTTCTTAATGTGAACTTGCATGATAATATATGTATATATTTTATATCTAAAGTAAACTCTTCTTAATGTGAACTTGCTTAAGGTAAACGCTGGGTTAACATGAACAAAATTTCGGTTCTGCCTGTGGTGTACATGATCCTATAAGAAAATTTCCAAATTAAGAACTATTTTTGGTCTATTACGTCATTAAATTTTATCATTTAGCACAAACTTTCAAAGTGTTTCATATTTTTTTGCTGTTTTTCTCTGCCTGGGCTGCATTAAAAATCTTTCATCATGTTGAATTGAAAACTTCACAGAATGTATTGTATTTTTTAAAACAAAACCCAGCGTAAATAATGTTCGAGAATCACAATCATTACGTCAACAGATAGCTTTAATGATGTTAACAGTGAGCTTTAATCAACAAATGTAATTCTATGTTCAGATGTGCTTTTTTTTTTTTTTTTTTTTTCTTCTTTAAAAGTTATCTAGTTTGACTATTGTTAAATCTTGAATAATTATGTATTTATTACTCAAGTAAAATTGCTCACTTGTCTTCTTCTTCAATAGGCGAATTATTATCTATTTTTTCCTAAAACACAATATTAAATAAATAATTCCAGTTAAATTTAAATGATTTGCATTTACAATAAAATATTTATATAGATGAACTGTAGTTTAATTTCATATGAATTTCCAGTGCACACCACATGTCATTTTTCTCCAAAAGTTGTAGTGGCATTGTTTGACAGACCTACAAGATGGCACTATGGTAGCTTGCAGAACATGACAACTAATGCTAAATTTCAAGCAGTAAGAGAATCTGTCTGCAGTCTGTTTGTAAAGTCCATATTTTTTATTTAATCATATTTGGTTCTTAAAGTTGCTGAATTTTACTTACCTGACATTTCCGTCTGTTTTATATGACTGCCCTTTTGAGTATGAATTAACATTTTGGAGGAGAGCATATTTATTTACATTTGAATTCTTTGCTATTACTTAACATAAATGGTGAATACTTGAGTTTTAGGCGTGAGGTGCTGTCTCGATTGAAACGTAAACATTTTGAAATTATTTCTTTTTTGCTAATGAATAAGAATACATAAAATATAACATTAAAAAAATCTTTCCCCTTTTTTGAAATATGAGTTATTTTATTATGTGGCATTAAATGTGGTGACTTATCAGCATTGCAGCGATTTCAAGACCAGTGTCTATGCAAAGTTTTTTATTGGTTTATTGGAGATTTGTGAATTTTTGGACAATTTTTTTTTACAAGCATGATAACATTGATAAAAATTATAAAAATAATGGTAATATATTCAAATTATATTTATGAAATAACAATAAAATAATACATTTTAATGCTAATTAATATAATTTTTATATTTTAATACTATAACATCATTGAATGCTAATTACTTGGGAAAAATTATGATGTTGATTTTATTCTTGAATTTGTTTTATAATTAAGTTAAATATTAGATTAGGTTAAATAGTAATGTTTCTTACATGCAAATTTATTTTATTACTACAGATTACAAAAGTGATATTACAAAAGTAATTTTGGGTGTAGATAATTGCTTTAGTTTGTCCAGTTCCCATTTGCTCGATAGATCCTTAATTTTTTTCATTGGTGGTCTTTAAAGAGTCATGGCCAAAAGAAAGATGACAGACATACTAGAGGAAGTTGGCGTGGTGTATTGGAAAAGAGTTCAGTTGCTGAGAAGTATGGAAGAGCCAAATCTGCTTTATCCACAATTAGTTAAAATTACGAAAAATTGTTAATTCTGCAGCATTGGGTTTTAGAAACTAATCTAAGCGACATCACAGTGCTTATTTCGAAGATAACAAACCTTTACTTCTAGAATGGTTCAAACATATGCGTACTTCTAATGTACCTTTCAAGTCCAAAGTAAGTGGCATTGCAAAAGATTTAAGACTAGGGGCTCCCAACCCTATGCCCACGGCACGATGGCGCCCACCGATTGTTTAACATGTGCCCGCCACTGTGCAATCACAATAAAAAAACTTCAATAAAATTCTGTCTGAAAGATTTCTCATTTTTAATGAAATAGAAATTGTGTCCAACACAGATCACAAAGCGAAATGCGACCGATCTCTTTTTATGTGGATGTATTATTAATTCTGTCAAGTATAATTTCACCTTGAATAAGTAAAAGGTGCCTGCCATCCAACAGATATTTTAGAATGGTGCTCTTATGAACAAAAAGGTTGGGAACCCCTGATTTAGACGATCAAGGTTTCAGTTATGACAAGCTAGATGGTGGCAGTGATACCATTTAACCTGACGAATGGAATAGTCCACTAAACATTGTGGACCTTCTTGTTAGTTTTGAGAAGTTGTTAGTGAAGTTTGATGATGTTGCTGTATGTGCTGAAGGGGAATGTGGTATAAAAACGGTTGTGTCTGAAGTTTAAGAAACATCATCTGAAGAAAGTGAAGAGGTTAGTATCATTGTGCCTGCATGCCAGGAAGGGTTATACACTTTGGGCACTGTAGAATGTTTTGCTGCAATATCTGAATTAACTGCTAGTTTTACAGAAGACATGAGTGCAAGTAGACTGTGAAGTTACCATTTTCGTTCCCATCTGTAACAATGCGATATACAGGAATTTTTCACCAAAACGTTATCTGTGTGTGCATTTTTTCAAGTTACAGTACTGTAATGTTTTCTATGATGGCATGCATAATATATTGTTGCACTTGTGTAACTATATACTGTATATAGTTAATGTATAGAAAAAAATTATTCCAAAAATAAAATTTTGAATTCACAGTTAATGTGAATTTTTTTAACACTTGATTTTTCATTCCCTTGAGATTCATGTTAACGATGGTTTACTGTATACACACACATACATTGGGTGATTAAAAAGTATCTGAAAATATGTAAAAAGCATTGAAATAAATAGATTTTATAATGGTTAGGTTAGGTTATGTAATTACGGCAAAGCCTCGATGGCTGTCTGCCTAAGAGGAGGGATGCCTTCATGGAGGACTTTCTAAGGAAAACTGGCTCATATACACGTTACACATGGAGAAAACCACGAAAACACCCATGCAGCCAGCCTGTTCGCGGGATTTGAACCTCGGACTGAACTACCAGTGTTCAGCGACTGCTTGGCCGCTGGTGGGCCTAGATTTTATAATGGAAAGAATGCAGAAAAGGCAGATTGAGGAGATACATGGTACTGCTGAGTGCTGAAATGCATTTTATCCATGCATTTCAGCACTCAGTGTTGCAGATAAAAACAGTGCAGGTTCTTAAAGCAGATATTTGTAAAGTGTTCTATTTACATCCTTTGAGTAGATGATCCACTTTTACCTCAGCTCCATAGATAAAATGCATGTCAGTGAGTTCTGTATTCACGTAATGATGCACACCAATCAAAATTCACACGTTGAATGACTTATGCTACCACCTCAATGTGTGATTTTTCTACACACATTCCATAGCAAAATCTGCTTATTTCAGTTTTGTCTACTTGTCTTTATATATTTGCCAGATATTTTTGAATAATACTATATACACACACACAGGGTTTATTCAGCCAAAGCCTTCAGGTTGAACTGAAGGATTTAAATTGGTGTACAGGTATGATCCTGAAAAAAAAAAAGCAACAGTCTTTACAATGGAAGAGTCCATCCTCACCAAGACTGAAAAAGGTGAAGCAAGTCCACAGCTCAACCAAATGCATGCTCATCGTACTTTTTCAACATTCACAGCATTGTGCATTGCAAATTCATCCCCATGGGCCAAACTGTCAGTAGCGAGTTCTACTACCAGGTTTTTATGGCATCTCAGGGATGACAGTTGGTGAAATTTACTGTATTTGACAAGGAATCGGGAAGAAGGACACATTCCAGCAGTGGCAGAAACACTGAGAGTGCTGCATTGCTACACAGTGAATAGCTGTTTTTGTGCACGTATTACTTATGGTATAAATAAGTCGACAACAGTTTCTCTATATTAATCTGTTAATTATAGATTATCATGCTAATTATTGAGAATCCATGCTTATTTGCAAGTTATTAATTTAAAATTTAGAAAAGAAAGATATGCCTCCAACATAAAAGTGGTTTTTAGGTGTAACATGCATTAAGGAAAGGTCTTATGAAACATGTAGAGTTAAAAAAAAAAAAATTAAAAGGTGAAAAATTGTGATTTCGGATGTGCTTTTAATATGCTTATTATTATAATAGTCATTTTCACAGAGGAACTTGTATATTTTAACTCATTTTTTTGAAGTCGCATCACAGCATCTTGTGATGAGTTAATAATACAGCCACTGTTATTTTCTATAACCCTTTCTGTATCTGGCAAACTAGGCTTCCTGAAAAATTTGGATTTGTTGCTTTAAATGCTAGTTGATGTGGTTTTATATATCATGAAATATTTTGAATTATTTGTAATATTCCCCCTCAAAAAAAAAGTTTGATTTTATTAAAAATCTGACTGGCCTGATTGGAACAAAAAGTAATCCAAATGAGTTATTTTTGGATTTTTTTTGTTGTTTTTGTTTTTTTATGTGTGTTTGCATACATCATTTGTTAAATTAACTGTTACTTTAAAGTTGAATTAGACAATTGCCATTTTTTTCAGTCATAATTTTTCTGTATGAGAAAGGTAATTTTGTGCCTGAACAGAAGAGAAGAACAAATGGCAGTGCATTGCATTTTCTGTATCATATGTGAAAGCATAAAGAATTTGTTTTCTAGTTTTTGTTTGCCTTACTTAGCCTGATGTTCATGTGTTTTCATGGGATGCTTGTTGAGGATTTCCTTCAACCATGATTGAAAGATGCATTTTTTCAACATGTAATGGTCATTTGAAGGTCCTGTAAAAAGATGCTCATTTGAAATTTCAGAAACCATCTCTGACATGGGAATCTCTGCACCAAATATCCATACTCTTTTTTGGGTAAAATTCATTAACATTCAAAGATGCAATCTAAAACTTCACCAAATTTTCTGCTATTAAACTATTTACCTTTGAGGCTCTACAAAGGCTTAAAGAAACATTATATGTCAAAGATTCTCAAATAAAGATATTTTTATTTACAACATATAATTCTACCAGGCAAGTCAAGAGAATCCTACAGTCAAATACATAACTTTTTAAAGAATATTGTTTTTGGAACAACAATAAACTAAAATTAAATACTGTTGCCATTCACAAGTTGTATTAATAATATATAATTTGCATTTATGTAAAGCTAATGTGCGTATACAAGCAGATGATAGCAAATATTTGTTGGAATTTTTTTCCAGCTTTCCTTTGCACATTTTGCATAGCAAGTAATATATTGCTATAAACAAGTTGTCATTTTTAATCGTCAGTCACAAAACTAAGAATTGTTTTTAAGATGCACTTTTAAGTGTGTTGCCTTTAAATGCAGATAATTTGCTTGGTATCAAACATAAATTTTCTTAATACTAAAAAATGGCACGAGGCTCTGACAAAACCTCTTTGACATGATCTGATAGCTAGATCACGTAACCTTTTACCTAACCTGAATGGAAAGTCTGGATGCCTAATTGGAATAGAATTTTTAATGTGATTTTAATATGTTATTAAATAATTCTGATTTTGTAATAGCTAATATGCATTGAAATTGAAAATTGCCTATGGAATGTGACTGAATAAAAAAGATACCATTATAGTATAGAACACTCGAGTTTATTTGAATAACACAGCTGCAAAAGCAAAAGTCAGTATATATGGTAGTTCTACAGCTAAGCTTTTGTTCTTGTGTTTCCATTATGATATAGATGTATACAGTTCAATAATTTCCTGAATTGTAATTGGTAAACATAAACCTTTGGCTGGCCAGTTGATATTTTGGAATGGCTGCAAGCACATTCAAATTTTATTTGATTATATGAGATCAGAGAATTAGGTAGAGGGCATTAATATTGTGGGAGTAGTCTTGGGAGAGCTATACTATATAGTCAAGCTCTCTCGTCTTGAAAAATGGCCTGAATATGCTGTAATTATCCAGCAATCCATGTCAGTTCTGGATATCTTTAATTCTCATATTTTGAGCTGTACTGTAATAATAAATGTTATTTCTGAAAAATTAGAAATGCATTGTTTATATGTTTTTCAGTTTATAAAATGCTCATTTTGTTTTCTTTCAATAATTAAAATATCTGACTTCATTATCACATCACTGAATTTATGATGTCCGAAATAAAACTCATATTAGCTGTTTTAAAATAGTTACTCCAATTTTTGAATTTTTATCTAGATAAATAGTATTCAAATTACTTTTTTCTTTGTTCTATTCATGTATAAATCAAACTCTAGATAATTTCTAATAATTTGTTTGCACATCTTTCTTTCCAATGCTTAGCCTTGCAGCCCTATCCACAGAGATGCAATTAAAAAGGCTTCCACTACTGGAATTGCTGTTACTGGGCAAGCAGGACTTCAGATTTTGCCTCAGTCACTTATTGATGAAGCACTTATTATCAGTGATATGTTTGATTTAAATGAATTAACTTCCCTTGAGCTTTTAATAGCAGGTATGTTATGTTTTATTATCATGAAAAAATGCATTATGCAAATGACTGAGCATATGCTGAATTTTAATTACTTACATTTTGTTATATAGGTACTTTGCTGACAAAATATCAAAATAATATTGTTATGTACATATGTGTTCATAATACACTGACTACCAATAAGTATTTGGACACCTGTGATAGGAGAAAAAAAAAAAAAAAAAAAAAAAAAAAAAAAAAAAAACTATATTCAAAATCAATAGTTGTTAGAGCCTCCACGAGAGGTAATTACAGCGTGGACCCCTCCGGGGCATACTTTCCACAAGTCTTTGTATGACAGCTAGTGGTATTTTCTTCCACTTGGCTTGGAGAAGACATAGAAGTTCTTTCACCAATTTTGTACGGGTAGTGCATCCCTGAATTCAGCGATGCAACTCGTCCCAGAGGTTCTCGATAGGGGGCAGGCCAGTCCATTTGATGAACTCCATTGGCACCATACAAAGCCTTGGTTAACATCGAAACATGGCAACTGGCATTGTCGTCCTGAAAATAACGGGTCCAACCCGTAAAACTGCCACAACGTAGGAAGCACATTGTCATCCAGAATAGTGCAGTAGGCATCGGAGTTGAGCTTACCATGAATGGGGACCAAGGGTCCCAGCCCATACCAGGAGAAACCTCCAGACCATAATTCCACCTCCGCCGAACTTGACTGTTGGCACAATGCATTCTAGCAGAAGACGTTCTCCAGGTAGACGCCAGACCCAGACCCTACCATCTGAACGGTAAAGGGTGAACCTTGATTCGTCACTCCAAAGAACCCATTTCCACTGATCTACGGTCCAATTTCGATGTGTTTTGCACCACATTAACCGAGCAGCGAGGTTGGACTTTGTGATCAAAGGCTTATGGGCAGCAGCACGACCATGAAAATCAAGCAGATGTGTTTCCTTACGGATGGTATTCATTGAAACAATACTCCCGGATGCCTGTTGAAATTCCTCGTGGATGAGGGCCATCGGTTGGGTGCGGTTCTTCCGATCGCAACTGATGGTTTGGGGATCTTTATCTCCCAGTTTCGTTGGTCTGCCGACTCGGGGCACATTCCGACAATCACCGCTCACCTTCCACTTCTTAATCACATAGGCCACTGTTGATTTTGGGTACTTCAGATCGCTAGATATGTCCCTTAAGGGTCAGCCACATATGTGATACCCTATAATTATACCTTTCTCGAAATCAGAGAGCTCTGATCAGCGAGGCATCTTGCGTGCGACTAAAGCCGATGCTGTTTCCTACACGATATATACCGGCGGAGTCCGTGACATACCTTAGGACCGCAGATATCGTCATTTGCATTGGTGTCCAAATACTTATTGATAGTCAGTGTAAATTGAATACGCACAAAACTGATGATAGCTTGATAAAAGCAGCTTGAAACACTTTACAGTTTTGGAACTTTTAGCAAAAGTATTCACACAGCTCTTCTCAGTATGACAGAGCACAAACAGTAGTTACCACTCCAAACTACTAAATGTTAAACACAAAATAATGAACAAAGCCTCATTCGGTAAGCTCGCAGAGTGAACTCATTGTGTAATCTCGCAATGCTCTCAGTACTGTGAACTAAACTAAACTGATACTATCTTCAGTCGTGTAGTTTTCCCTCGGTTACTGAGAAATTTCTAGTACCTTCAGTTTCTCAAAATTACTGGAAGGCATACACAGTTACATATGCATATACTCCAATTACTATGGATTTTCCATACATGGATATTCGTGAAAAACTATGAGATACGGAAAATATGAAAAAAACTACGAGGTTTACAGAAAGATGGCAGGAGAAATAGGATGCAAAATGGAACCAACTAACTCATCGTATGAGTAGCTGAATGCTCGTGACATCATGTATCATGCCTGGAGTGCATTGCTGGTTTTTAAGAGTAGCCAGTCATAGGTCAGGAAACAATGAATTAATTTCTGCAATCTAATTAATTCCCTGCAGTGGAAGACATGTTTATTCTGCTTGGGATCCATTTGTTTAGATTACGGCTAGAGTATAGCAAACTTATCTTGTGGATTGTAATTCAGTTGGAAGTGTTTTTTTTGTTTTTGTTTTGTTGTGTGTGTGTGTGTATGTGAATTACACCGCCTCAGGTAAAGAAGTTAAAATTATCAAGCCAGAAATTTAAAGACTCGTATTCTTCAGAATTTCCATGCAGTAAAGCATATGAAATTTCTGTGAATCATGGCCATTACAGTGTATGTAACAAGGACTCCGTTGCATACATCGGAAAGGATGACTGTAAATGCCATATGTTTTCTCAAAAGCATAACAAAATTGTTGTTGTAAAATCTAAAGCAATAACAAATTTGTTCATAAAATTATGAAACATATGCCTTAATAGTGAAATGGTATTTTGTGTGATTTTTTTTTTTTTCCGATTTATCTACCAGTTTCAGTTTTAGACATTCGAAACAGTATTTTAATGCCATGATTCCAGATTCTGCTTTAGGAAAAAAGAAATTTTTTTTTTAGCTGTGGCCATACCAAAAGTGCTGCAATTGTGAAAACGCGTGCAGAAGGTACTGTTGCCGATATTGTAAAATCAGTGTATAATACATCATTTGCTGACATAACAAGAATTCTGGAACAGTGGGATGATCTGAACAATGTTTTGGATTACAGTAACAGTGAAACAGTAAAAATGAAGGAAGAAGATTGCAAAACATTAAAAAAAATGTTACAGTCACCTACCACCATTTTTGCAGAATGCTTTGCCTTTATTTAACACTAAATATGAATTCGCAACAACTAGCTCCTTATTTACAAAAATTTAAAATAGAACTTTTTGAAATTTTAATGAATTAATTTGTTAGATTCGTAAACCGTAATGAATTTATTTGTTTGATTTGTAAAATCGTCAGTAATTTCCAAAGGAAATACAGATGTTACTGTGACATTTATTCCATTTTGAAAGTGTAATAAATGAAAAGAAATGGAAGTGTAGTGAACAGGTGTAAAAACAAGATTATATTTATAAAAATGCTAAGTTGAGTGAAAGTGAAGTGAGGGTATTTTTCAATTCAGTGCAAGCTTTTTTTGTAATTGCATGTAAATGTAACAGATAAACTTATGTAATAAATAAATTTCCTCTAAATGATCCATTTCTAATGCACGCTGAAGCTACTGATGTTGTCCAAAATATCGCCAGCGACAAAAATTAGTCGACCAAACCATTGCTAGCTTGGTGGTATTTTGCCAAATTACAACGATACTAATTTACTCAGTGTTAAATAGACTTGCCCCTATAGCTATTTTCCAGATAGCTTGTCTCTCATAGATTTTCATGTTACATTATACAAAGAAATATAGCAATTTCTTATACAATTTACCCTAAAGTCATCTATCTATGTACAAAATTCGTAAGAATATATCGACATAATCACCATCAAGAGCTATGCAATCATTCCAACGCTTTAACTTTTCGATACCATGCTTTAAAACCATTTGTCCTTGTCCACAAAATAAGCTTGAGTGGTAGCGATGAGTTTCTCGTTTGAGCCAAATCTTTTCCCCTGGAGCATCTTTTTCAGATCAGCAAACAGCCAGTAGTCACTGGGGCTAGATCTGGAGAGTAGGTGGGTGGGGAAGCAGAGTGAAGCCCAACTTGTTCAATGTAGCCAGTGTTTGTATCGACTTGTAGCACGGAGCATTGTCTTGATGGAAGATGATTTTTTCTTCGTGTGCAGTCATTTTTTTTTTTTTTCTGATTTCATCCTTCAGATGCACCAATATCTCATTGTGATAGGCGCTATTGATAGATTTTTCCTTTTCAAGGTAGTCGATGTAAATTATACCTCACACATCCCAAAACATTGATACCATGACTTTACCAGCTGACTGTTGTGTTTTTGCATGCTTGGATGGCTTTCACCAGCTTCGGATGACATTCACTGGCTGCACGCCACTCAGCTGACTGCCGCGTCGACTCCAGAGTGAAATACTGTATCTACGTTTCGTCCATTGTCACATACCGATGCAAGAAATTCTGTTTATTGTGAGTAAATAGTGACAAACAGCTCTGTGAGTCGTCGACTCGTTGTTGCTTTTGTTCCATTGTGAGAACATGTGGCATCCATTTGGAAAACACTTTTTTCATGCCCAACGTTTCACGTAAAATCGTACACCCACTTTAAGTTGATATGTTTACCATCACAGCAGTCTCACAAACTTTTACTTTTGCGGTCATTCATTACGATTTACATTCATTTCACATTTTCCAGAGGGATTGCTTCATTTGGCTTATCCGAGCATGCCGCATCATTTGTATCCGTGCGACCACGCTTAAAATCAGCATACCAATGGCAAATAGTTGTTTTTGATGAAGCAGAGTCTGGATAACATTTTTCAAGCCATTGCTAAGCTTGGATGGTATTTTTACCCATTAAATAGCAATGTTTGATCAACGCTCGAAATTCGTTTTTCTCCATTTTGTCCACAAATGCACAAATAGTGTCACTTTCACCACAGTAGCTTTGCTGTTTCCGGTCCGAATGCCATTAAAATTGGACACGTGTCATTTGAAGGTTAGTTCTTTTGAACAGTGAAGTCAAGTTGATATTACTACGCCATCTGTCGGTTAGTCCCGGGACTTATTGAATGATGTGTTACATTTAATAATGGATGAATGTAGATGAACTTAATTTAATTTAGACTGCATGCACTTGTGACTATCAAGAAAATATTTTAAAAAGAAGTAACTGCATATAAATTTAGCTTCCGTTTTCGTACTTGGCAGCAGCAATCTGCAGAAATGAAAAACCTCATTAAATGTTCAAAAATTTAATTCGAATTTGTCTAATTTTACATTGTTTCAAAATGAAGCATTCATGCTTAACATTTATTAATGAATTTTTAACTTTTTTTAAGCTATTGATTATCAGATACCCCTATGTAGCCAGTTCAGTTTTAATTTCATGCATGCCAAAGCTCTTTCCAAATTTGAGATTATATTTTCAGTTTCTCTTCAGAAGGAAAACTAAACATAAAGGCTTCTGCAAATTTAGTTAAATAGGTAGCAATTGATACAAAATTACCATTGGATAAAATAATGCATTTGCCAAAATTTTGTTAACACTATGTTATTGATGCATCATATTAGTATCAATGACATATCATGGTTTTATTAGTAGTTATCATCAGTCGTACTTACTGATATACAACAATTTAGCTATTGCTTAACTTTGGTTTGTGAAATGTTTCATAGGAATGCTTTGCTTTCATTAAAGCAAGGAAATTTGAATTTAAAATTGTATGCGAATAGTGTTTGTTTGTAATACTAAATCATTCTTGAGTTAATAATTTTAACTTTACAGGTCAACAGCAGCAACCACGCTTTCCTGGCTTAACTCGGGGATTGGTGGCTATGCTGTTGTACTATGATGGTAGAAGAAACTTGGTCAATGCTTTACAACTTCTTGTGCAGGCACGAGAAGGTCGAACTTGGACATTGGGTATTACTTCTGAGTTAATGTCCATCATTATGAAATATACTAATCAACTTAAAGAAGGTGGAATTATAATGAAAGTTATAGGTATGTATATAAGGATATTTTGATCACCACAACTCGCATATCATGGTATTGATAAATTTATATACTTTCTTTTTAGAAGTCATTAAATGCAGCTGTGCTTTTTAAAAATTCTTAAATTATAATGTATTATTAGGAACCTTACAAATAGCGCTTTTAAAAGAAAAAAAAGTGTTAAGAAATTTGAAGATTACTTTATAGCAGTAGTCTTCAAACTCTTTCAACTTCTAGAATCCATAAAACTATAAATTTTTGCAATTCCATACCATCCTTAGAAAGCAAATGTTAAGAAAGCATTGAAAATATATTAATATTGTGAATACTTCATGTGGTGAGTGAAAAGAAAATTATTTTATTATATAAAACAAATTGTCTTTCTATTATTTTGCATAGCAGTAACAATAGAAATATATTATTTGATTAATTAATTTAGACATTTAGTATTGCAGTTCACATGTTAAAAAATTCTATCAAATTTTGATTCTGACCCGTACAGGAATTGTGTGTTACTCCAGAATGATATGTGACATAGTTTGAAAGCAACTGCTTATTTTTGCTGTAAGACAAATATTTATGTTTAATTGAAAGAAAAAAAAAAGATTAGTTACAAAATAATGAATAATTTAAATGATGACTGCAAAATTATGATGCGCCATCTTTCATAGTTATCTTCTAAGCTAAAAAAAGAATTAAGGTACCACGAAGTTAATTTTTTCAGTTTTTTTTAAAATAAATTTTGATACCCTAAAATTGTTTAATTAATGAAATTAATTTTTTCCTGGATGCTGATGCGTCTGCATTATTTTTGAAATTGTCTTTAAAAGGAAACTTGTACCTAAATAGTAATATACCATGTTTTAAAAATTAAAAGCAAAAAGAATGTTTTTTGTTGTTTCTAGCTGATCATCTTTCTGTTATTTACTGAGTGATCATTATTATTCCTAAAATGCAAATATCAAAATTACTGCAGTAGTCTTTTATGAATAAGATGAAGAAGTGTTTAATAGTAAATAGTTTAATAGATTAACTAATTAAAACTACCATTTTATGTTGCAAATTTTTTAGCTGTTTTTCATTTTATGTTTGCTTATGCAGTTAGTTCTTGAAATCATTATTTGCAGACCTTATTGAAAAGACTGACATAACTGACGAATTGGAATTGTTACATCGAAACCGTGCTTTGGGAGGGCCGAGATACAGAAAGCAAGTATGTATAGTTATCATATTGAATCTTGTGTAGAGATAATATTTGTAAATAGGTAAAAGAAATAAAAGATTAATGTTAGCAAATTTTTTAGCAGATTAACACTAATATATTAGTTTTGTTTCAGTATATTATACTATGTGGCAGGGCTCAGTGTACAATGCCATATTACATACTGTACATTGAAACGATACTGAGCATCATTTCTGTAATACAAAAAGCACTCTTATGTTCTGTCTTGTTTCTTGGTTTAATAAGTGAAGTTTTGCTGTGAAAAATGAAGAAGATTGAAATCTGTCATTTGTCTTTAATGGATAATTAATATCAGGTAGCATTAAGTATTTTTTAAATATAGCAAAAATTTTTATCAAATGCATGCCTAGCTACCATTTACAGTCAGCAGGGTAATTAATCTGTGTATGCTGATTATGAAAGTTGTACTTGATTATTATAAGTAAACCTGCACTATCAATAACAGTGCGACTTGCTGAAATAAAATACTGTAGAACTTCAATGTTTATTGAATAGTAAGTCTACAGAGTATAATAGCAGAAATGTTGTATCTAGTTGTAATGAAAGTTTTCCACCAAAAAACGTTCTTAATATAGATCTTAATACGTGTCCTGTGCAGAATGGAAGATAGCACCAGCAAAATATAGCTGCAGATGTGAAAAAAGGCAGGAGTCCAAAGGAGCAATGTCGGGCCATATGCTGGGTGTGGCAAAAGATCCCATTCGAGTCCATACAGAGTGCAGCCAGTGAATGCAGACTCATGTGGTCTGGCATTATCTTGATGGAACATTACCTTTTTGTGCCGGAACTGAGTTCGACGTTTTTCTTTGATAGGAGCATCAACACGGACTAGCATCTTGCTGTCGAGGGTTTTAACTTTTTCCAGGTACTCTTTGTGGATAATACCATAGCAATCCCACCAGATACAAAGCATGATCTTTTTAATTAGTCAAATTGCATTTTGCGACTCTTCCGACGGCTTACTGGGAGCAGACTGTCTTGTTGAAGTAAATCCACTTCTCATCGCAAGTGACGATCCGGTCGAGAATTTTGTCCTTGCTTTGATGTTCGAGCAGATTAGTGCAGGCCTGAACATGTCAGTCCTTATCTGCTTGAATCAGCTCATGCGGCACCTAGCGATTGAATTTGTATGGGAAGTTCATGTGATGCATAATGCGACTAACAGACATAGCACTAATGTTTAACTCATTAGCAAGCTCTTGAGTGGTTGCATACTGATATTCTTCCCCACGTTCTTGTAGGCAGGCCTTATCAACATCAGTAGGCTCTGCTTCTTGAATGTCATAGTTCTTGTTTCTGAACTTTCGGCAGTAAACGTTTGTAATATCATATGATACAACATCAGTACCTAAAGCTGTACACATGATTTGGTGACATTCTGTAGCGGGCTTTGTGCAACAAAACCGGAGTGTAATCATGGTTCTAATCTCTTAACATGATAAGTTCATTCCAGACATCTGTTCTTAATGATAATGATCTTTTTTACGAATTTCACATTGCAGCGTCTTCTTTCAAATGCCAAAAATCGTTGACAAAATATGATTAAACATGACATTGCAAACTGTGCAAATGATATTTGCGATGGCAGGAAACTTTCGTTGAAACCAATATAGTGTTGAGAATGAAAAGTAAAATTTGAATCATGGGTTTAAATTTGATGGGTGTAGGGTGTTTTTTAAAATTTAGGAAGAAAAAGTCATTCTGAAAAATATGAAAACTGTTTATTGAATCACATGAAACTCTTACATGGACAGACACAACAACAAAAACATTATTTTGTGTTCCAAACTACAGAGTAACTGAGGTTTTGCAAGGAAAGCGAAGTGAAATTGGATGAAGAGTACTTAAAATGATTTAAATAAATATTTAACTTAGTCTTAAGTACTTTTTAGACAAGTTAATTATTTAACTGCCTCTGCTTCATGAAGACCAGTCAGATTTCTTATAATTAAATCTAAAATAATCCTTTTAAAGCAGAACTTAATTGATACCAAGAAAATGAGGCAATGCTGCAACTCTGCCAAAGAAATATAAGCGTGTAGTTATGAAGAAATAGGTGTTTTTTTTTTTATAATAAGAATTTGTTAGCATATTATAACTTACAGAAAGCCTTCAAGATAACTTGATTTTCTTTCAATTTTAGGTTACAGATTTGATAACAGAAATCAAACAAACTCTTGCTGAAATAATATTTGGCTGGGCATGTCAAGGCTTCTTTACCCGGGAAGAAGTATTACGCCTTCTTTCGTACCTATCCAAACAAGCTAGTATATCCAGTGATGGCAGTCTAGATGAAGCTACTCTGACTACTGCTGTTGCATTTTTGTACGTTATAGATGTCAGCATTTTGCAAACATGTGATGAGATGGATTGTAAGTATTTTCTTATAAAAGAGAAAAAGATCTAAGTAATTATGCTTTTTTTCGTTATTCTGTATGTGTAATCGTACTTACTGTTGTTGCTGATCCCCATATCCCAGCATATAGTTTCCAGAAAAGTATCAATGATGATTGTGGGTGGGAGAGAAAGTTCTTGTTGTTGGCCCAACTTTGGATGTCTAATTGGTGACAGTGTGCACTAGATCAGCTCCATCCCAGTTTTGCTTAAAAATACCATGAGGGATGGAATACAGGGGTGTTGTATTTCTTTTTTTCTGTTAACAACTTTCTGAAGGGACTTAGGAATTTAAATGGTGTTGTGGCAAAAAGATACTATATATTTGTATATGTCGATATTTTTTCAAGAGATCAAAACCAGGCCCAACAATATGGCATTCATCATATTGCCCATTTGGCTCATTAAACTTAATTATGAAAATTTGAGTTTGGGCATTTTAAAATTTCTAGGTATATTTAAACTTGTGAAATGATTATGAAAAATAAAATATTCAGGGTAAAGAAACTGATTTTGCTCTTTTATTACAATTATTTCTTGCAAAAGAAAATTAGTCACAAAACTGTTCAGATAAAAAATTAGATTAATGATAGCAAATTTAAGTAAACATTCCAACTTTTTATAAAAGATATAAAATTGTTATTGTGTTGAGGCAAATTTTAGCAGATTTTTGTCAATTTTTCCCCTTACAGTGCTTTATTAATAACTCTGTAACGAAAGTTCTAAATCAAAGTCGAATCACTCATAATCAAAAAGACGTGATGCATGGCCTGGAGGGTTTTCCATAAATATTAATTAAGCTTAATATTTACATATATACAATGTAGGCTAAAATGCCTGAATCGAATATTTAAGGCTCAAAAGGCAAGAACTGAATAGTTCCAGCTAAAATCTCAATCGAATTCTATTGCATAGTGCATCGAAATTCTACCTTCAAGAAGAAGAATTTTTTTTCAAGTCACGTGTTCAGAAGGGGAGAGGTTAATTAAGCCAGTAGATGGACTCCTAACGCCATCTCTTGGCGATATCAAAGAATATTCCTTAACACACTCCCCACCTGAACTCTGGACAAGAGTTCATCTAACTCAGTTATACATACAATCAAGTACATAAATCACTATTCTATAAAAATATTAAAAATACTAATTAGTCAAACACTTCAATTCCAAAAAGGTTATACACATCATGTATCAAATAATAAATGTTATAACTAATAAATGAACTAAAATTTTTTAAAATATTTTCCACTTAACTGAACAAACTTAACTAACAATATTCAATTTAATCATTAATAATCATTAATAGACAAAAAAAAAAAAAAAAAAAAAAAAAAAAAGGAAAAGAAAAACATAACTAAATCGTTAAAGTTCAAAATATCTAAAGTTCAAGAGGATATAGATGTTGAACAGTATGTTTTAAAATCCCATTACCAGTTTTTATCATCGGACTTTACCATCACATCCAGGAATAATTTTTATGATTCTACCAAGTTTCCATAAGAGTTTGTTTTTATTATCTCCTTCGACTAAAACAACATCTCTTACTTTTAGTTCTGGTTGAAGTTGCGGATTCTTCAAGAAATGGGCAGTTCTAAGATCTAATAAATATTGTTGCTTCCATTTCCACCACAACTGTTTTAACAGCAATTCTTGGTAACGCTTTCTTTTTAACAGCGTTTCTCTTGTCGTTTCGCTACCGATGATTCTACCAAAGGTCAAAGGATACTTCAAATCAGTTTGCCCAATGTTTAAGAAGTGCATTGGAGTCAACGGTTACGGCTCGTCATTGTCGTTGTAAACGTAACTTAGAGGTCGTGAATTAAGAACTGACTCCACTTCGACAAGTAGTGTAGACATTTCTTCGAAAGTCAATGCTTTTCCTACGATTTTTCTTAAACATTCTTTAACAGATCTAACAAGTCTCTCATAAAACCCTCCCCACCATGGGGCTTGTTCGATTATAAATTTCCAATGGATTCTTTCTTTAGCAATGAAATTCTTGAATTTGTCATCTTTTAAAACTTTTGAAAAATTCTCAAGTTCTTTCTTTGTCCTCTTAAAGGTTTTGGCGTTGTCAGAGTAGATGATTACGCAGTTTCCTCTTCTCCTCAAAAATCTGCGAAAATGCAAGTAAAAAGGATTCTGTTGACATATCTGATACAAGTTTCTAAGTGTACAGCTCGGGTTACTGCACAAACGAACAAAACAATATAGGATTTTTCGAATGTCTTTAGAAATAACTCTTTACGTAAACTGGGTCCGGCGAAATCAATTCCACAGACTGCAAATGGAGGCGATTTCTTGGATTCTATCCTTTGGTAAGGGTTCTGTCATCTGGTCTGCTGGTTTAGCTAAATATTTTTGGCAAATTATACAACCCTTTTAATGCTTTTTTTGACTAACTGGTCGTCCTTTAGGAATCCAGAAGCGTGATCTGACTTTAGCTAAAGTCGCAGCAATTCCTCCATGCATTACCTTCTCATGTTCTTTGCATACAATCAGAATCGTTAGTCGAGAATTTTTAGGTAAGATTATTGGATGTTTATTATCTAGTGAGAAGTCAGAAAATTCCAGTCTTCCTCTCAACTTCATGATTTCCTTTTCATTAATGTAAGGAAGAAAATTGTACAAAGGAGAATTTTTTCCAACTGAATTACCTTCTTTGAGGGCTTTATATTCTTCGGCAAAAAACTTCTTTTGCTCTGATCTTATCCAGAAATTTTCTGCTTCTTGTAACTCTTCAGCTGTGAGAGTTCCTTGAATGTCGCTAGTTTTTCTTAATTTTCTAATGAAACGTGTTGTGCAAGCAGTGACTCTCAACACCTTCTCTAATTTGCTATATTTTGATATGTCGAAAAGATCATCTGCACTTTTTTCGATTGCACATTCAAGTTGATGTATATCACCGGATCTCTTTCGGTATTCCAGCTTGTTTTCATCTATTGTTTCTTTAATATCTAATCTTGGCCAAAGTTCGTGAGGAAGTTGAAGCCATAGGGGACCTTGCGTCCAAATGGTCTCATTTATTAACTTGGAAATCTTCGTTCCCCGAGATACGAGATCTGCAGGGTTGTCGACACCTGGGCAATAATGCCAATCTTGAGGTGAACTCAATTTTTGTATTTCTTCGATACGATTTCTGACAAAGGGTTTGAAGGCTTCAGGTTGTTTCTGGATCCAAAAATAAGTAATTGTTGAGTCTGTCCAAAAATAGCATGGAATTCTCAATTTCAGTGCTTTCAGAATATTGTTGACTAACTTAACTGATAACAATGCCCCCATTAATTCTAACCTCGGTAAAGTAAGGGATTTTAGCGGGGCTACCCTATTTTTAGAAGAGACAAAGGTCGTTTTGATTTCTTTATTTTCTGTCGTGAAACGTAAATATGCGACTGTACCATAGGCTTTGACACTTGCATCTGAAAAGCAATGTAGTTCGAGATTTTCGACATTAATGTTCGAGTGCATGAAAAGGTAACGAGAGACGGAGAATTCAGCCATTTGAGGTAGCTCTTCACACCACTTTCTCCATTCAGAGGACAAATCTTCAGGTAACGGTTCATCGCAATCTATTTGTGACAACCAAATCTTCTGTATTAAGCACTTTATTCTAACAGTGAAAGGTCCCAAAATTCCAATCGGATCGAATATCCGACCCAACACTTGTAGAAGAAATCGTTTTGTTTCTATTGGTTTAGATGTGAAAGACAATAAGTTCCGAACATCAAAATACAGTAAGTCCTTTGAATTATCCCATGCCATACCTAAGACTTTAAATGGGAAATTTTCTCTATTAAAATCTTCAGGATTTTCATCTGGAACGATACCCTTTTTACCCCACAATTCATGTAATTGTCTCGAGTTACTATGCCATTTGTGAAGCTGCATGCTTGCTTCCTTAAATATTTGGACCGATTCTAGACTCGTAGTTAATGCTTCATTGATCGTTGGTTGGCTTCCAATCACATCATCTACATATACGTTCTCATTCAAAATGTTAACCGTTGTAGGATAAAGTTTATTATATTTTTTCAGATGATGTTTAATGGTAGCGGCTAATAGAAATGGACTACTATTTATTCCGAATAAAACTCTAGTGAACTTATATATGTCAGGAGAAATGTTTCATCATTAGGGAAATCGGAAAACAGAAACCTGGTTGCGTCTCGATCTTTTTCATGTATGAGAATCTGTAAAAAGGCTTGTTTTATATCTGCGGTGAAGGCTATTAGATTATACCGAAATCTTAACAATATTTCGAATATTTCAGGGTATAAATTTGGCCCAAAATGTAGACAGTCATTTAAAGAAATGGATCCTGGGGCATGCGATGATGCATCATAAACAATACATAATTTACTTGTAGCTCGATCCTCGCGTATAACTTCCCTATGTGGCAAGTAAAACACGACATCCTCTTCATTTGAAATTTCTGAAACTGGTTCGATAATATTTTGTTTTAACTGATCTCTTAATATGTTCCTGTATTCGGAAAATAGATTAGGATCCTTTTTAAATCGTTTTCTAAGTCGATGAAATCTTTGTTCTGTGATTTCCCTATTATTATTTAGATTTGATGTGTCATGTTTCCAAGGCAATCTAATTTTATAGCGAGAATTTTCATATGTTATATTTGATTCGAAATATTTGACGACTTCATTTTCAGTTGAATCGAAGTTTTCCCTCTTATCAATAAGTCCTGAGTTTTCCAAGTCCCAAAATTTTGTTATTTGTTTGGAAATCAAATCTTCCCCTACAACTACATTGAAAGCTAAAGAGACATCATCATAACCTTTTCGTCCATGTAGGCACCAGCCGAAAATAGTTTCCACAGCAACAAGATTTTTGCTTAAGTATTTAACGTGTCCCATTACTATGTTGTAATAATAATCTGCACCAATTAGAATGGCAATGGGTTTTTTACAATCAGGAAAATCTGCGAGCATCAAATTTTTTAATTGTCTGTTTTGCTTAATTTCTTCTGATTTAGGAGGAGGAATATCTGTACCTGATATATGATCAGTTACTAATAATTCAACTTCTATTCTAGAATCGGGAGAACTTCTATGTTCTAAAGTTAATTTAACTACGTCATAATTTTTTTGGATGGGAGAAGTATTCCCAAAAGTGTAGACAGTCAATTTTTCTTTTCTTATGACTTCGAGGTTTAATCTGTCCGCTAACTCGCGAGCACAAAAACTTTTCATACTTCCACTATCCAAGAGAAGTCTGGTAAACACCTTTTCCTTAGCTGTTTTAACTTTTATCGTGCAAGTCTGTAAAAGAATTGTATTATTTGCATTATGTGAAACGGCCGAAACAATTTCTTCTTTCTGTTCCTTAGTTTGTGTATCATTTTTCGAAATTAATATACTATCCTTTTTATCACTTGGTGTATTTTTAACCATCGAACTGGATTTAAAACATATGGCTTCTGAATGTTTACCTTTGCAAATTTTACAAACTTTAGTTTGGCGTTGTCGGCACTGTGAGATTTTGTGTTTAGGGGCCAAACAAAGAAAACAACGCGCTTGTTTTTTCAAAATATCTCTCTTCTCATTAACTGTAAGGCATGAACAGGGCTCTGAGTCATGGTTTTGAAAACAAAAAATGCAGTTTCCATTTGATGACGCGGCTGCCATAAATTCATGTATAGTGACAGTTTGTTTATGTTTCGGCGTCGGTGGATATCTGTTAATACCTTTCATTTCCGGGTTTGACTTGCGTGGAAAGGATAACGAATTAATCTTTTCTCGCGATTCTATTTCTAATCGGAGAAAGTCTAGAAATTTGTTTAAATCATAGGTTGAAGGATTTTCAGTATTTGTATGATGAAATTCTATTATATTAAGTTATATCATTCGGGACAATTTTCATCAAAATTGGAATAAACATGTTGGAATATGTTTTTGGTTTCACACCAAATGCTAAAAGGCTTCTGACTTGAACGTTAATTGTATCATAAAGTTTTCGCAATTTTGCCACTTCACTTGAACTTTGAACGGGATTTAAATTTAAGAGATTAGAAATGTGTGTATTGATAATAAGGTCACTTTGACCGAATCTATTTTTAAGAATGTCTATAGCAGAGTCATAATTAGCCTCTGAGATTGAGAGACCTTCTATGGCTGATGCTGTGCATTTCCATCATAAATAAGTTTCTCAAATAATTAAATTTTTCTATCTTCGAAAGTGTAACATTGTCATGAATAGTGACCTTGAATGAATTCCAAAAATTCATCCAATCGTTATAGTCTCCGGAAAATTTGTGAATTAAGAGTTTGGGCAATTTCACATTGCCTTCAATCTGTCTTTTGGTTTCAACTTCTGTAGATGAATTATTTAAATTCGTGTTGATATTTTGAGTATTGTATTTCCTTAAATAACGGTTGATTTTAGACTTCGCTATTATTATTTTATCGTTATATTCCATAGAAGTGTTAATATCTGAATCTAATTTTGATTCATCTTCAATCAAATTTTATATTTTTTCATTTAAATCGTCTAGTTCCGTTTCTTTACTATTTAACAATTCCAAACAATTTTCTAACTCTTCTTGATTTTCTTCTTTTAAATACTCATCTACATTTTTAATAATTTGAGTTACAGAAGCACGTATATGTGCTTGATTCTTAATTAGTGTCTTCTGTTCCATATTAATAAATTATCAAAGGAGACTTACCGTGAGAAGCTAATCCAAAGGGCGATTAATCAAATTAATCAGATTCTTTTCTGGAGCCGATGCACAATTATGTAACGAAAGTTCTAGATCAAAGTCAAATCATTCATAATCCAAAAGACGAGATGCATGGCCTGGAGGGTTTTCCATAAATTTTAATTAAGCTTAATATTTACATATATACAATGTAGGCTAAAATGCCTGAATCGAATATTTAAGGCTCAAAAGGCAAGAACTGAATAGTTCCAGCTAAAATCTCAATCAAATTCTATTGCGTAGTGCATCGAAATTCTATCTTCAAGAAGAAGAATATTTTTTTCAAGTCACGTGTTCAGAAGGGGAAAGGTTAAGTAAGCAAATAGATGGACTCCTAACGCCATCTCTTGGCGATATCAAAGAATATTCCTTAACAACTCTAAATTCGCTTTTGATAAAATATTTCAGATGTATAGTAAAGTCAGTGATAGAAATAACATTAAACTTATTACAAATTTTTGATTTTTATTCAAATAGTGAATACTGACAATTAAGAGAAAGTTATTGCAAAAAGTACATATTGAAGGAAAATATGTTTATATTCCTGCTGAAATTGAGATGGTTGAAACAGGTCTACAAAAACAGTTACTTACTGATTCAAAGAGCATATTGTTGTATAACAAATATAAACAGTATGCCTGTATGGATCTTCAATTGGTACAATATAATACAATGCAAATAAATTCTTACTATAAAATAAAAAGATTACCATGTCAACATCAAATATAATTTTTTATTCATCAGCTCAGTAGTCAAAAATCTCATCTTCTATATTTTTAATAAACAAATCGAATTCTAAAAATAAAAACTGTTGCCAAAAACGATAATGCAATAATTTACAGAGTAAACATTTATAATTATTAAAGTATTATGAGTATTAAAATATTGTGAGTTACTTTTAGACTAATTATTTATATTTTATGCCGTTACATTCACTCCCCTTCCAGTAATGAACGTTACGTTAGAAAGATTGGAAGAAGTAATAGTGCATCATCAAAATAATAACAAAATTCATGTATAAATAAAATATCAGTTTTTGAATCGCAATGGTGCCTTAAGAATTCTACCAGTTCGAGATTGTGTTAAAGCTGATTTGATTTTAAGTTGAGCCACAGTTAATTTGGTTTGAATTTCAATCGGCGTAGGTGCATTGTTTACACAATTTGGAGTTGTAGGTTTCTCTTGTTCAATATTTCTCAATCCATATTTCAAGGGTTTGTTGTGGTAGAATATATGCTGGCTTCAATCTGTCTATCGATACATTTACTTTTTTATTCTTTATCCTGAAAGTAAAATATTTGGGTGAACGATTGATAACCAAATACGGACCTTCATATGGGGGTTCGAGTTGCTTCCGAACTCTGTCAATGTGAAGAAAAACATGGGATGTTGATTCTAAATCTTTGTGTACAAATAATTTAGGGATACCTTTCTGTTGTATTTCCTTCGGCCGAATCAATTCCATATGCTTTTGTAACTTATGTATAAAAGTTCCAGGTGGTGTATGACTTATTGTTTCCTCAAAGAATTCTCCAGGAAGTTTAATATTCTCTAAATATACCATTTCCGCGATAGTATAGTTAGCATCGTTGTGGATTGCTGTTCGTAGGCCTAAAAGAACCGTAGGTAATGTTTCACTCCAAATTTTATTATTATGGTCTTTTAAAGCAGCCTTTATTGATCTATGGAGTCGTTCTACCTTGCCGTTGCATTGCGGGTGATAGGCTGTAGTGTGTGAAAGCTTAATGCCGCAGATTCTTGACAGGGTTTGAAATACTTCAGATGAAAATTGAGTTCCTCGATCAGTTATTAGATGCAAAGGTATTCCAAATCTTGCTATCCAATTGCTATAGAAAGCGTTCGCTACAGTTTCTGCTGAGATGTTTTCGAGCGGAATAGCTTCCATCCAATTTGTGTATCTATCTATACATGTTAGACAGTAGGTGTTACCATTTGATGGTGGTAATGGACCAACAAGATCAATGTGTATTTCTCGAAATCTTTATGATGGCTTTTGATATTCGCCGATTGTTGATCCGTATGTCGGAATATTTTAGATTTTTGACATGGAATACAAGATTTCGCCCAATGCTGAACATTGTTTTTGATATTTAACCAAATAAATTTTAGAGAGATTAATTTTACTGTTGATTTGATTCCAGGATGAGATAATCTGTTAAACTGATGAAATATTTTCATATGATAACTCTTGGGTATATAAGGTCTAACATGCTGTGTTGAAGTATCACACCATAATCTTTTTCCAGATGGAAGGGAAAACTGTTTAAAAGTCAAATTTGTAGATTTCCACAATGCTTTAAATTCGTCATCTCGCTCTTGTTCTTCGGCAGTTTCGTCAAAATTTATTAAGGCGATTTCTTCTATTCTGGATAATGTATCCGCTACTACGTTATTCTCTCCTGTAATATACCTGGAACCATGTGAAGAGGACTGGCCCATTGTGATTTAGAGGGACGAATAATATAATTTTCTAACATATATTGGAATTCCTGTTTTGCTATTTGTAATCTTTTGAGATCCAGTTGTCTAGCTCTGGTATAAACAGGTTGTCCTCTAGTTGTAATATAATGCTCAACACCATGCTTAAATGTTGATACTGATAAATTCGGTTTTGTTAAATCTGGGTATTGTTGTAACAAATTAGCATTACTGATGATCATACTAATAGCATGATCATACTAATGATCATACTAATAGCATGATACTAATGATCATACTAATAGCATGATCAGATTACTTCGAACAGATAGGTTAGTTATTCCATCAATTAATGTCTTATTGTGAATGTCAACTAAAAGTTTAAATTTATTTAGAAAATCAGCTCCTATAATAGTTTTATCAACTTTAGCTAATATAAACGGAAATTGAAATTCTCTTCTAAGTCCTAAATTTAAAGTTAAAATTTTAATTCCGTAAGTAGGAATTTCCATTCCATTAACTGCATGTAATTTAAAATCATCTACTTTTGTAGTACGTTTAGTTGCAGGAATGAGACTAACATCAGCATCTGAATCTACTAAGAACTGCAGTCCTGTGTTTTTGTCTTTCACAAATAAACGAAATTTGCGGCTGTTACGAGACTCTACCTGAATTTTGTTCATTCAGTCGGTACTCCATTAAAAGAAACTTATATTCAAGTAATACAGGCAATCCAGCCAATTAATTCACTTAAAACAGGCAATCCACCTTAATGCAAAGTCATGGTGCATTTTTACTTCATTTATTATAAACAGTAAAGATACAATATAATAGTAAAGATACAATGTTGCCAAACCGTAAAAACTTAATCTTTTAAGAAATTGCATTTATACAATCGTTGAGTTGCTCACGACATCTCCTCCCACCTTTTGATTTATGGTGGGCAGAACATAAATCAAAATACAATATACTTAATAACGAGACTAAACAATACTTAGTATAATCATAAAAGGAAAAAAACTAATTAAAACATGAAGGTTTTACAATAGTTCTACCACATCTAGTTTTAATTATCTTATCAGGAGGTTTAAAGTGAATTTCTTTACTAGCAGGAATTTTAAATTGGTTTTGTTTAGATAAAAACAAGTTCTCGTTATCCATCACTTCCAAAGGATACAGTTGTTGCACAGGACAGATCAATTCACCTGCAGCTGTTTTCCTTTTTGCCACTCTAACGCAATTATCTTGACTCTGGAATAGTTCAATAACTCAACCCAATGGCCAGTCCAATGTTTTTTTTTTTGGCACTTCCCACAAGTACCACATCTCCTAAATATGTTTGTCTTCGAGTAGCTTTATTATCTCTGGACTGAATTAGGAGACTCAAATATTCATCTCTATATCTTTTTCTGAGATCTTGTCCTAATTTCTGCTGATATCTATATCTCTTATTGATATTCACTTCATCTATATGGTCTAAGTCCGGAACTCCCACCGTTCTTATATCCTGAATGAACATAGAGGGTGTTAAAGGCATTAAATCTTCTGGATCTTCAGACAAATAATTTAATGGTCTTGCATTGATTACAGCTTCTGTATCGCAGAGAATGGTACGCAGCTCCTCATATCTCAAGCAGGCTCTTCCTAATATTCTTCTCAAATTTTTCTTAACCATCTGAATAATATGCTCCCATATGTTATTTATATCTATCTAAAATGGTACATTACTACATGATTTATAAGAATAAATTAGAGAGCTCTGTGAATGAAATTCCTTCCAATTAAAAAATGTAGGAATAAAGAAAATGCAGGAATTGCAAATGCAGAAATGAAAAAGGGATTATATTTTTTTGCACAGAATCCAGATGACATATTTTTCAACATTTTAGAAATTTCAATATTAATTTTAGGGGCCTAAATATTAGGCCCCTAAAAGCAGAATATATATAGTTTTTAAATGTTCAGACAATCTTCCTATGAGAATTCCTTTGAGAAGTACACATCTGAACCAAAATTAAAAAACATGTACAAGAACAGAGCTGAGGACTTCTGTTTGCAGAAAGTCTGTCACATAACATATGAAAAGTTTCTTATTGTTCAGACATTTTTTTTTTTTTTTTTGATTTTTGATCAGACAGATATTTTATTGTTATACAGAGAAAGCATTCACTCCCTTTCTACTAGAGATAATTCAATTTGGACAATGGCAAAAAGGCTAAGCAAGCCTGAGCATATTGGTCCCATTCTTGGCACTAGTATGGTTTACGCTAAAAATACACGGCAGATATTTTCTAATTACCTGCATCCCAATATCAATTCAGTTCTGCTTTTGGTGGAATTTACCATTTGTGACATATTTTTCAAAAACTACACTTCACAACATGCATGCATGACAAATAAACAAGCAATAATATATATTTATATATAAATTTTACTAAATGATCATAAAATGTTCCAACGCTAAAAGAAAGTTTTAACATCCAAGTAAATGACATAATAAAAAAAAGCAAGTTGAACAGCGAGCACATGAATGAAATGTGCATACACCTGTAAAAATATACCATAGGTAACTGACAAAGCATTTCGTAGCAAACATATGACTATAAAATTTCCAATAATACCATGTAATGATGGTGAATTCAATTTAGATCGCAAGAACATGCTCATACTTTTGAAAAGATTCAATTATTTCAGCAATTCCTTGTGAATTGGAATTTACCCTTTCAATATTTCCCAACAATTTAGTGTGAATGGAGGAATAAATTGTTATAAAAGAATTGAACAATTATTAGCATCCCCTCATACACACACACAAACAAACAAAAAAAAAAAAAAAAAAAACCTTACTTTGTAAAAAAAATCATCCGGGCAATGATTCTCCTTTGACACACAGATGCAGTTGTATCAATAATTTCTGACCTTCAATAAAAAAAAATACGCATATTTTACTTCGGAATTAACTTACTACGAAATCATAACACGGGGTAGTCGATATAAAGAATAAATTATTTCTCACCTTTCGAAAACATCCGCTTGTTCGGAATCTTCCACATCTCGGGAATTTAATTTCATATTTTTTTCTTGAGCTCGACGTTTCGCTGAATTCTGGATTTTTTCTGTCGTCCTTGATATTTTCGCATATTTTTTGCAAACTGACCACAGTAC